TACAACCAGACCCCATATTCGCCCCAAGCGTTCGAGCGGGTTGCCCAGTCACTGTCGGGAAGCAGAAATGCCACCCAACCAGGCTCCTCAGATTTTAGACTTACCAGTACTACCCATATCCAACCCATATCTGGGGCGGATATGGGACGTCCGGACGTGCCGGAGCACCGAGTCAATGCCAAACTGACCTCTAGGGCCCGTGACAATTCGAACATGTCCGTCCCATCTCTTCTTGCCTAACAAACCCTATTCTCTTCTTTGTTTGTCCTCGTCCGCACAGCCACTACAGGAGTTCCTCTACCATCATTGCTCCTCTGACATTGCCTACCTAGGGCTTCGCCACCGGACTCCCCAACCCACACTGCCATCGACCAAGCTGCAACCGGTCAAGGTCGCTGCCACCAGACACCGCCCCGGAACGTACAAGTCCTCCATATATACACCTCATGCTTTTATGTGTTTGATGAAATTTCTGAGCCGGTTTTATTCTTTCGGTTATTACTTCTAGTTCACCAATGGATTCGTCATGGAATGATGGTTGTGGAAACTTAGACCTTGACGAATTCATATGCAGCAATTCATCATCTCAATAGATCTGGACGATGAGGATGCTGAAATGATGATGATGATGATCATCCAAGAGGTGTTGGAGAAGGCAAAGGAGCACATCCTCCACTTGAAGGGTTCCATCAAGAGCTGGAGAGTTATTCCCCGTGATAGGATTGCCAGTGCACGGATTTTCTACACGGACTACTTCACAGCGGACCCAACATTCCCTGAAAGTTTCTTTTGTCGTCGCTACTGAATGAGCAAAAATTTGTTCTTGTGGGTGGTGGAAGTCGTGAAGAAGGCTGATGACAACTTCAAGGTGAGGAACGATTATTGGCAAAACTTTACTTCTCTGCTCCGCAGAATGCACGGCTGCTCTCAGGATGCTTATTTATGGTAAATCAGCGGATGCAATTGATGCTGAAAACGGGATGGGAGAGAAAACAGTCCCGGACACCACGGTGCAATTTGCACACACTGTTGTGAAGTTGTTCGGACCAGAGTACCTAAGTGAGCCAACTGTGGAAGACACATAAAAGCTGTTGGCAATTGAAGCATCAAGAGGATTCGCAGGTATGTCAGGTTCAGTTGATTGCATGCACCGGCAATGGAAGAACTGCCCAAAAGATTTGTATGGGCAATACCAAGGCCACGTCAAATAAGCCATCATCATACTTGAAGTACTGACATCGAAGGACTTGTGGATTTGGCATACTTTCTTTGGCACGTCAAGTTCGTGCAACGACATCAATGTGTTCCAACGATCTTCTTTGTTCAAGAGACTTTGTGATGGGCACTCTTCACATATGCCATCTTCATGTGTATCTAGGGTGAGATAGGAAAAATAAGAGCATTACACTGCATGCATGGAGTTGAGGACAAAAAAGTTCAAGATTTGTTCCTATTTGAAAAATTAAAATATTTTATCTCTTGAATGACCAATCTGCTTAACGATATGTTTTCACCACTAGATTCATCAGGACAGGACCTTTGAAATTAGATATTTCTGATATAATTTTTGCGGGTTGAAAATTCACAAGGTAGAATATGTGATTTAGTAGGCTAATCATCTGTAATTCTAGCTTCAAAATTATATGTCATTTGAAATATTTTTGCGACTTTTTTTGAGCTCATAAATTATCACCTAGTATTGTGTGAATCACACGCTA